ACTTGAGGTCCAGGGAACACAGGGATATTGGAGAAGTGATCACTGTGGTACCCGTTGCAAAGACACAGAAACCTACTGCCCTGGCATCTTAAAATGATCGTAACAAAAGTTTTAAAGACTTGTGTTTGCCACAAGCTTGACAACATCTTTGCTCTTAGAACTAGTGGACCAAATCGTCTATTTCTCACATCTCCAAAAAAGGCGAAGAAATTACACTCAAAATCAGCACCTCTGTGTTTCCCTGGCATGCTCATTTCAGATTCAAGTCCTGGTGGAACTCCCCTCGTTTAAATGATTTTTTCTCCTTGATTTCTTATTTTTAAAACAATATTTATTGGGTATTTTTTCTGATTATAAAAGTAGTATACATTACTACTTGGACTTTGGAGCACAGAGGAAAGTCTGGAGAAGAGAGTCCTAACCGTGCATCCTGTCTGCTCAGTCCAGCTCCTCTCAGAGGGGTGGCCCACTCCCATTCTGCGTTCTGTCTATTACTATGACAATGCCTTCTCTTTTTTTATACTTTTTTTAACACTTCCTTTCCTTGATGTCCCCTTTACTAATTTCATTTTCAAATTTCTGTTCTGAATATCCTGTTATCTCGTATTGTCTTCTGTATTGGAAAGGGTGTATGAGGATGTGGTCTACATAAAAGGAACTAAAAGTTACATTTTGTGATATCCAGAAAGTACATATGTGCAAGTACATGGGCTCCACTATGTTGGCTGTGCATCATGTCCCCATCCCTTGCTAACAGCTGTGGACACCATTCCACCCCACACCAGTCTGTCTGCATAATGCCAGTACCAGGAAGCCGCAGACATTGTTCATCGCCATTGTCTTACTTATCCAGGTGTTCTGAGTGCCAGCATGGAGTCTACACTTTGAAACAAGGAAGGTTGGATATGGATCAGCCCTGAGCAGAGAAAGGAGCCCTTCTCCCCTCCCCTAGCGTATCAGCTGGTCACAGCCATGTTCGTTTAGAGCCCTGGATGTGATCAACATTGTAGACACACGTGCACACCCACAAACAAGTCTCTGGCTTTAGTTTTGAAGTTTTACCCGACACCAGATTCACTGTGCACAAAGCACTATGAGGAAGGGTTAAAAAGAAAGGGAAAATGTGGTACCTGCGTTTGCAAAGCAGAAGGGCTCCTCGGCCAGTAGGTTGTCTATTGGGCCTTCCTGTTGTGAAACAGAGCTATTTCTTAAACCCTGTTCCAATCCTAAAACCACCCCTGCTCCCTACAGTCCTGAGGCCATTTCTCTGAGCCTGTGTCTCCTGTGTGCCCTGGTGGTTCTGTGATGGTCCCTTGCTGGGCTCCTCTCCCTCTGCCTCTCCCTGAGTAACTGTCAGGTCTCCCTCAGTCCTAGGCATGTCTCTCTGCGCCCTGTTCTCTCAGTTGCCCCGTCCATGACTCTTACCAGCATTGTTACTGTGAGTTTTCGATATGTCCTGTCAGCTCACCCCTTTGGTCTTCCAGTCCGAAGTGTGACAGCCTTCCCCCAGCTGTGCTATTGGAATCCTCTCTGGAGATTCTGGAGATGGAGGGGCAGAAGAAAAGGGGGTGGTTGGCTCTCCCTGGTACATGGTGGGGGGATATGATGCGGACCAGGGGAAGTCGCCTCTTTTGTGGATATGTTTCCCTCAATTTGTCCTGGCTCAGAATTCACAGCACTGTAGAGTCGGCCCTGGAAGCCCTCCCCAGATGAGGCGCTGCCTCCATAGACTCAGAGCTGCTTTCTGGGGGCCTGGTAATCCAGTGGTGGCAGACCCCTCCTCACCTGTTACACTTCTCCAAGGCCAGTTGTATGTGAAGCGCACACGTCTATGGTGACATCGTAGAATGTTTCACACGGGTTTGGTTGGTGACATGAAATGATCACCTGCAAACCTAGGAGCAGTGTTGGGCACAGATTTAATCACGGACTCTTCCACAGAGGTAGGCTGACCAGTCCCAGGGGCTTTGGGCGTTTTTGAGGAGGGAACCCAACACCCAAAACCCAAAGGCTACCACATGATGGTATCCCAATGTCACTACCCTCACAGTAAGGAACAGAGGAAGAAGGAGCAACCCACTCAACCCCAGAACCTCCCACCATTGCCAGGAAGCACGTGCATTCTTTTTTTAAGCCACACACCTGATGCCTGGGTCTGCCCTTGTTCAGTTTCCATGCTGAAAAAAGGACTTAATTCATTTGTAGACTTTGTTTCCCTTGTTTCTGCTTTTCCATTTCTTGTATTTTTTTTCTTTTCCTCCTGTTGTTCCTTTCTCACTTCTTATGCTTTTTGTCCTCTGCTTGTTTTTTATTTCACCTTCTCCCTGTCCCTCTCCACTTCCAAACTCCTCTTCCTCCTCCTTTTCCTCCTCTTCCTTTTTGTCTTTCTTCGTCTCCTTCTCCTTCTTTTCCTTGTTTGGTCCTTTTTGAAGTTGAGCCCAGTGGCGGGACTCCACGGCGTAGACCTCTCTCCTTCTGCCCTTGCTGTGTCCAGGAAGGTAACGTAACTCCCCCAACCTCATCCCCACTGCCTCTCAGCGGTCATAGCAACACTAGCCAAACAGGGACCCAAAACCCAGCTATTTCTCTTTTTCTCTGACATTCAATAGCCTTGTTACAAAATTCCATGAGTATGTGGCAGTTTCTTACAAGGTACAGTATCCCTTTGACTGTCTTGGGGAGGACTGGGGTACAGAGGAAAACCAGAGAGCCTCCAGGTACTGGCCTTTCAGGCTACAGCTGAAGCATCCCATGACGTTGTGCCACCATTCATGGTGGAACTTCTCAGACTCAAATCGAGCAGATAGAGGGGACACACGGGTGAGGAACCCCCTACCTGTGTGGCAGAGATTTGTATCGGTGGAGTCGAGGAATACTGTCCTTACAAAGACTGGTCTACAAATGCCCCCAAGTTCTTTTCCCAAAAACAACAAAAACAAACAAACAAAAAAACCCCACTAAATGCAAACTTCTCTACCCTGTGTCTTGCTGAGTGTGTGTGTGTGTTTGTTTTTTTTTTTTTAAGTTTGTCTGATTTAAAGTCTGTTGTGATAAGATTGTTATTGAAAAGGCATGTGGGAAGGGGAAAGGGGAGTGTGGTCATGACTAACCCTTGCTAACCTCTTAACCCTGCTCTTCATGGCGCTCACATTTGACTTTCACCCACCCCACCATATACCTTTGCTCATCAGCTGTGAACAGTCTCTACCATAGCTCATGAGCAGTGTTCAGATGTCTCCCAGTGGAATTTTTGTCCCTGCTCATGGGGAGGCGGGAAGGAGGGAGAGACTTCCCAGTGCATTCCCAGCTTGCCGCACTGGACAGCTTGCATGCCTCAGGGCTCCATCTTCCATGCCATGTGGGCACACTGTGCAGAGACGCTCAGAAAGGAATGCATGGAACTGAGCTGTGGGCTGCTCTAAAAGCCAAAGGACCAAGTCTATTGGGTCGGGTAAGGAGAACTTTCATCCCCAGACACTCCAGCACTCCACAGAGGCAGGCTCAGCTGGTCAGGAGGGAGTTTCTGCCTTGCAGAGTAGGACTCAGGGACAGGCCTCCACCTTGGGAGCACAGCCGCACGGGTACCTGGGCTGTGTGCATACACTAACCCCCGCTTGTGTGAGTGCTATTCGTTTCTGCCTCTCCAGAGTGTGGCCCCCATTGAAAGACTAACTGGCTTGGGCCTCCTGCGTGTCAAGCAAACAACACAGCAGAGAGTTGTCTTTGAACAGTGTGCAAGGAAGTCAGGTGGGAAGAATGTAGGAAAACAGTGAGTAAGGAGCTTGACAGAGGAGCGTTGTCCCACTTGAGGGTGTATTCCATGTGTTTCTGGGTCTGGTCTTTACCAGGATAGGACATCCATCCAAGTGAGTCATAAAATGGAAGGCACTTGGGAAGATCTCCCAGTCTAGTGCCTCTTAACCTGGGACCCACAGGTGAACTTCAGGGAGCCCACGAACACCCTGAAGTTCTGTATATAATTGTTGGACATGTAGACATGTATTTTTCTAGGAAGAGTGTCCCTGGATTTCCCGAGATTCCCAGAATGGTTTGAAATCCAAAAATATTGAAGACCGCTGATAGAGTCTGTCTTTTGCTTTAGGCAGGACCGCACTATTGCTGTGAGCTTCTTTGTGCTCCAAGGAAAAGGAGTTTGTTCTCTCCTTGGGTGGTCTGATTCCTTGGAAAGTTCTTCCTACTGTTCTGCTGCCTTAGTTAAGCCCCACAGGGTCAGGCTGCCACTGATGGAGATGGAGTTTTCAGCTATGTGTTAGTGCAGAGCACTAGTCCCAGAAACTGCTGTTGACATTGGGTCAGAGCAGAGGGCACTGCCTGATTTCCTAGTGGGTGTTCTCTCTGCCCTTGGTGAGAAGACTGACAGCCATCCTGGGAGGTACTACTGCATGTACCATGCAGGATTCCTCAGGGGAGCGTTTGTCAGGAAGCCCGATAAAGCCACAGTTTGAGAAAAGCCATCTCCCTGACCGGGAACTAAAGAAACAGACAGGCATCAGTACCAGTGGCCCAGACAGGGGCAGGAGCTGGGTCAGTGAGGGTACTTTTAAAGGAGGAGTAAGTGCAGTTTATAAACTTGCATTTGCCTGGTTCACGAGACTGGTTTTCTTAAAGCAGATCTAGTACCCAGCAAGTACCATACAGATAGGAAATGAGTGGGGAAAAGGGGGAAAGAGAGGGCAAAGCACTTCAGACCTACCAAGAGCAATCCATTGAGCAGGAGGGGTCCAGACAGGCTGTAATCAGGTTCCTGAGGGGGTGTGGGCTGGGCCTGGGAAGGAGAGGTGGAGAGCACAGACTCTGTTAGACTCTGGGGCACCGCGCCCCCCTTCCATGGCTGTAGGCAAACTTTGGACCTGGCTTGGGAGTGTTCCGGCAGCATCCTGCTCGGCTCTCTTTGCACATTTGCCCCTGTGTGATGACTCCTGCCGGCCGGGGAAGACGGCAGACACTTGCTGCACCTGACGCACCCTCTCTCTTGGCAGGCATGGGCAAGAAAGATGACCCCAAGCTGATGCAGGAGTGGTTCAAGTTGGTGCAAGAGAAAAATGCCATGGTGCGCTACGAGTCAGAGCTGATGATCTTGTGAGTAGCCTTTGAGTGGGGGCCCAGTCAAGGGGGGCCATCAGCTCAGCCCCTATCACAGCAGGAGCGCAGCTTCTTCCTAATTTAGGGGATGAGGAGATATGGCCCCCAAGCCACCGTGCTTCTCTCCCTCTCTCCTCTCCTCCTCCCCCTTCCCGCCCCCACCCTTCCCCAACGCCAGTGCCCGGGAGCTGGAACTGGAAGACCGGCAGAGCCGACTGCAGCAGGAACTACGGGAGCGGATGGCGGTGGAAGGTAAGCGGGGAGCAGGGCTGGGGGCCACCAGGGAAAGCTGGGTGTGGGCCTGCTGCCTCCTGGCCCTAGAGACCTAATGTCTTTGGCCACTACCCAGATCACCTGAAAACTGAAGAGGAGTTGTCAGAGGAGAAGAAGATCTTGAACGAGATGCTGGAGGTGGTGGAACAGAGAGATGCCCTTGTGGCCCTGCTCGAGGAGCAGCGACTCCGGGAAAAAGAAGAGGACAAGGACCTGGAGGCCGTCATGCTGTCCAAGGGCTTCAGCCTGAACTGGTCCTGAGCTCCAGCTGTGTTCCGGCTGGCTGGTCTGTGGCATCCACCTGACCCAGGCTGGGTTCTTCCAAACCACCCAGATGGAAGATCTCTCAGAAGGCCTGGCACCTCCTGGGAGTTTACATGCAAATGTCTATGTGCCTCTTGAAAAGTGGGTCAAGGTCTATGCTCTGGGGAACCCCAGGTGAAGATGATTATCTGAGGTGGCTCAGCCTCCTTGGAAGGGGCCTACCCTGACTCCCTGCTCCAGAGAGAGAGAGGAATATTTGACACGTGAAGTGGGAATAAAGAAAACCTGCCCGCTCCCCAGGGCTCCAAGGTGGCTGGTGCTCCTTCTACAAGAGAAGACAAGAGAAGGAATCTGCTTCCTGTCTGTCAAAACCACAGCCACCAGAGTGCACCTCCACGGAGCAGAGGGGGCAGCAATCTTCTTCATGCTTCCTGAAGCACCACCAAAGAAATGAAGAGGACACCCCGGTCGGGGGGACAAGATGGGAAGCAAGCCTGGGGAGGGGGACAGTGGCCCACAGGTGAGCACCTACCCCAGCATCACAGGGGAAGCTGGAGATGGGCTGGCTCCCGAATTCATGTTGCAAGTAAGGAGGACCCAGGAGGGGTCTGCTTCCTGGCCCCCTGCACCACACACTGGACCCCTCATGGCCAGATGCCCCAGGCCTCTCTCTGGCTTTGACCTGAGGCCTGTGGACTGCTGCATTCTGCTTTGAATTCACAATTTTCACACTGGAAAATACTGACTTTGGGGGACAGGATGAGGCCCTGCATTTCTAGCCCCCAGTTGACAGACAGGCGTCATTACCGTTCAGCGCCTCACGTCGGGGTAGGAGATTATCTTTTTCCCTGACATTTTTCCTGTGTTTGCACATTGAGATGAAGCTGTCAGCCTAGCAAGATGCTCAGCCGCTTCGGACCCTTTTTGTCAATTAACTTATTTTTTTAATACTTGAAAAGAAGTAACTTCATTTTTATATCTTTACTAGAGACACTGATCACTTGGCACCCGGTGTGGGAGTGACGGGTGTGTCTGTCACGTCCTCCTACATGGTCCCATCCCGACCTGACTGAACACTGTCCCAGCCGTCTATTTATTAGCCTTCTTCAGAGTGTCACTGACCCAGTTGGCATCAGGGAGCAGCTGAGACCCCTACGTGGGTTCTTGCTCCTAGCTCTCCTGTCCCCTCCTGTACTGGGTGTCCGCCCCTCCTCCTTCACCCAGCCCACCCTCACTGTGGTACCAAACTTCGTGTCTGCACCACTCATTTGTCTAAGGGTACATTTCAGCACTGTTGGAGGCCAAGCCAAAGGGCACAGATGCCACTCGCCTCTTCCTGGCTCTGAAGAACCCATTTTTTTTCTCCGTTTTAGTGCCAGGGTTTCACCTCCCCTCAGCACATTTATTATGAAAGGTGAGCCCTTTTCCAAGCTGGCAGTGTGTGCCGGGACCTTGTAATCCATCTGGCTGCTGAGAATTCCCTCAGCCCAGCCTCATAGACAACCAGACAGAGATGCAGATGTTGGAATTGAGGTTGGTCTCTCACAGTTGACTCCACCCCAAACCTCCTGTGTAACCCTATCTTCATGGAAGGCCAGGGATAATGAATACCACGGAACTGGCTCCTTGAGTCAAACTGCTCATTTCTCATAGTTGAGCCGGAGACCGACATTGTCCAGCTAGCTCACAGAGCCACAGTGGGGAAGACCTGGTGACTGATAGGTAGTCAGCCCAGGGAGGGTTCCTGCCCAGACGGGGCCAGTCCGGAAGGGGCCTCTGGCAGACTTCTGGTGGAGAGGGGCTGGTGGAGGGCGAACAGAGGCCTGGCAGCTCTTCAGGGCAGCCTAGATCAGGTGTCTGCGCCAACCTTGGCACTACCATGGGAGCCCCACCATGCCTCAACTTGAACCTTCATTCCTAGTACAAAGGAGCAGAGAACCTGTCTCACTCTTCACTTTGTCCAAAAGCTGCCATGGCTCTCCTGTGGAAATGCAGGAGGGGTGCTGCTAGCAACCGTCACAGCTCTGACTCCTTCGCTTCCTGTTTTCCGATGAGGTGGAATGCCCACGATTATTCTTATTCTTAACAAGGCAAGAGGAGGGTGTTCTAGATTCTCCCTTTAAACCTCAGCCTTCCAGTAAAATTGAACTTGAGACAGGACTTTCATCACCTGTATGGCCTCGTCCCTAACCCTCTTCACCTCCTGAATGCCACCAGAACTAGACCAGCCCCCCCCGGAGAGCCGCCTCCATCCCTCGAGGCTCTTGCAAACCCCAGAACAAGGCAGTGCTGTGCCAAGTGGCGGCTGCGGGATAGGGCCGCAGGGAGATGCTGTTAGTGGTCTCATGTGGTGGGAACGCCACACGGGGCCGTGTGCCCCACTGCCGGCCGGGACGGTTAGCCTCTTAACACTCCTGCATTCTTGTGAAGCACACACAGTGACCTGCGATTACTAGAAAAGGGACTGAAGACCTTCCAGAGAAGCTTCCAAAATCCACAAGCCTCCAACATGTGCCCTGGTTCTCCGCTCTCCACAGTGTTCCTTCCAGCTCTTGCAGCGCACCTTTCCTTTAAAGCTCCCGTTTTATAACCACTAGTTTGCAGTTTATTTTAGAATCCTGGTGACATGCTGCATGAAATGTTTTCCAACTCTGGAAACGCATGCAGCTCCAGGCAACTGTTCTTCCCCTGATTGAAGTCCCCTTGAAGGCAGGGGATGCAGGAAATGAAATGCCAGAGCTTGAGTGAGCCCAAACACAAGGCCGATACGATGGGCAACCAGCTCCCCATCACCAGAGGGAAGGCAGCAGGCATCTCCATTCCTGAGTCTGCGGGCCTCCGCGTGGGGTTCTCGCCCTGTTTGAATGATGTCTTTGGACCTTTGCCCCCAGAAACCATCTTCCAGTTGCTTTTGACCAGCAATGATAGGTTATTCTTTTTCATTTCAGAAGAGAAGAAATTTTTCAGTGGGGCAGGAGTTAGAGTTCAAAGGAAAACATTTGAAAGGTGGTAAGAACCAAGCTGCAAAGGGGAATGGGCCATTTTCTGCGCAATAAAAGTTTTTCAAAGAAATACAGAGTGTATTTCTTAAGTCATTTTACCAGACTTGGCCGTGAGCTGGGATATAGTTCCATGTTCCAGCACCTGCCTTTTGCAGGTAGATGGTGTCCACTCAAGTCATTTAGATGTCTGGCACATGTATGAGTGTGTGTACAAGCTTGTTTAAAGAACACAACTCCATAATATCCTGGCTCAGCCATCAACTGCTGTCATTTGAGAAAATGCATAAAACAACTTAGCGTGGTAGACGCTGTTCTTCAGAACCAGGCCCCAGTACCCTCTAAAAGAGAAGAATCATGTTCTGTGAAAGCAAGAGTCTTCAAGTCGGCGTGGTCCTGTGCCCCTGGCAGCATTCCTTGCCAGTCCTGCTTCTGTGCCACCCTGGCCTCTGTCCTTTGACACAGCTGACCAGGGAGCCCAGTGGCATGGGGTCAGCAGCCTCTGGGCCTTAATCATTTAGATGTGTCAGTGTCTACGAGGACATTCAGCATAGGGTCTTGGAGAGATGCTATCACCCTTCTTTGGACTGGAATCATCCCCAAGAGATTAAAGGGAACAATCCTGGCCAGCTCTTCTCTCTTGGCTACAAGAAGCCTCTTGGGTTTGTCTCCAAATGGAGACACATTCCAGCTCTTCCCCTCCCTTGGTGTGGTGACTTTGTCATCGCCCAAACAGCTAATCCCAAAGGCACATGTCTCCCTCTGGCGCAGTAACGGCATCAGGGAGAGACAAAATGGCAATAAATGGGTGGAGGTGAGGGTTGTCCAGCCTAGAGCCAACTGCCATGGAAGCTGGTTCCCAGAGCCTTTCAGCTTTATTGCCAGTTATCTCTCTCTGACACAGACGTGGACATCTCAGGCAGAAAAAACAGAACTAGCTGTGCCATTTTATTTGATGAGCTGGCCAGACTGGCCCTCTTACGGAGACTCACCTCCTCCTGTTGGGTTACCTGCTCGGAAGATCCCCCCCGCCCCCAAGCATTGCTCAGTGAAGAGGGTAAGAAACAATCCTCTTAGCTGAGACATAACCCCGGGGACCAGAGCTGCACCTCAGACGCTAAAACAAAGAGCCTGTTAAACCAGGTGCCCAGGGTCACACAGGCCTTTCATGGACACTCCCAGATGGATCTCCTGTTGCTGCCGAGCTTCACCAGGTAGCATTTTGTGACAGTCCCACTCCTTGGGTTCCCCGCCCTGAGGTCTTCTTGCAGGTGGGGCTCAAACAGGGAGCCTGGAGTCCTGGCTTCTGTGGGTAGGCCCTGTGTGCCGGCTGCCTCTGCCTGGGAAGCCACCTGTTACTGAGACCTATGTGGAAGAGGAGACGGCGTCCCACAGTGCACGCACGATTCACACGCACGTGCACACACACGAGCACCTTCCTTTTCATGGTCAACATGGCCTTTCTGAGCCAGAGTGGACATCTGGCTCTAAAGAAGGCTGGATTTAAGCCTTTGAACCCAGAAAGGACTAGCCTGGAGCATGGAAGACCTCGGTTGTATGGACCGGTCTCTGAAGTAGGCAGGTGGAGCAGTCCGCCAGACCCAGGGGAAGGGGCGTTTGGAGTCCCCAGTGCAGGTGTGGCGCTGCCTCACACAGCTTGTGAGATGAGAAGGAGGTTGCTGGTGTCTGTCCACACGTGAGAGAGCGGTAAGGAAAGGGAGTTAGACAAGATTAAGGTTAGCATTCAGACATGAGACTCGTTCCTGTCTCTTCTCTGACTTCAGAGGAAGCCTGAGACTTATCATTTAACTGGTGGGTTCTCCCTCCTTGTTAACCAGCCCACAGGATCCTCGGGAGGGCAAAACATTGAAGGGTTTGAGATTCTTAAATCGGGGCCTTTGTAGATGGACAGACATCTTTCATGATAGTAACTAATGTTGAAGGAAGGCAGTCCCAGCTCCTCTAGGGGCTGTCTCCTTCCTACCCAAGTTCATCTCA